ATGAGATTATTTTCATAAAAAGGTTTATTGTGATATGATGACTGATGGTGGTGGGTTCATGTTGATTGGTCGGAAAAATTCGTCCGTTACATGGACAGTACCATCTAACAGCAAGACAGTGGAACCATCTGGTAAACCTCATTGGATAAGTTCATTAGGAGACGCTCCGATGGTTGATTTTAGAGTACAAATGGCCACTAAAGATGATTTTAAGGCAACAAAGGCTCATTGGTAAAATTTGAACCTCTAACTTGTATCGCAATGAATCGTTTCATCATCAATAGTTTTTTATTTTTAATAAAGTTTATTTTTAATAAAATCGTATTTAATGAAGGTATTACAGATTCAAGAGTGCAAGAAAATTGAAAAATTTGATGTTATCTAAGACAGGGGGATGTGGGGGAACTTCAGCAGGAATTGGTGACGTTAAGTTAGTGAAAGATCTTATTACTGGAAATGTTGTAACAACAAGTTTTCGCTGCTCTAAATTTGGATTGGCTTACAATGAAAAAATGAAATTTGGATGGGTGAGTCTTTTGAATGATTTATTAACATGTGAATGTCAATACTAGTCTTAATACTTTTGTCCATTTGCAGGCAAATATGAATTATTGCTTGACTAAACCCTGTCGTCGAGGATTTGCTTTTCATGACAAAGTTTCATTTCAAACTGACTATTCTGGATCATTTAGGTGAGAAATTGAAATTTTTCATTCTGCAGTACTTTTGTTATTCACAAGAATTCACATACACAACATTTATCAGCTTAGTAAATGATTATTATTGAAACGTGCAGATTAGCGGATGATATTATCATTTTTCAGAGAATGAAAATAAAAATGAGTAAGAAAATTTGTCAATTGAAGTTTATGTTCTTCTCTTTATTCTATTTTTGTGATATAAAAATTTTATCACGTTATCACCTGCGGGATTTAACTTTAATTTTAACACGAATAAATGACACAATAACCTTCAGTGATTGAGGAGATGAATCTCTATTGAATCTTACTTTAGTAGAATGACATTGGGAAGACTTAGTAGCCTTTAATGTTATTAAATAGCCTTATAGAACTTTGTGAAGATAGTGATTTTGACGTAAAGGTTTTTATTTCTTAACATTATTTAATAATTAATATAGCTACAGTGCAAAAGATAACATTTCTGGTATAGATTTTGGAGCGACGGCATTGGTTGGCTGTGACAGCGGAAAGGTTGTTTAGTTTTGTTTATTTTTGCTTACTTATCTTGGCAGTTTTTATGTTTTTATTTTGCAGTTTCTTTTTAAAAATACAGAAAATCGAGCATTCGTTCTTTAAAGTGTCAAACAATAGGCATGAACTGCAATAATTTGTAATTATTTCTATCTGCACCGTGTAAAATGTTCAAAGTTTTTTTAGTAGTGGACCCAAGGTAAGTCACAAAACACTACAGTAGATAATTTGACGTCGAAATACCGTAATGCAACAATGCATTTTGTTAAAAATATCTGAAAAATATTTTAGAACCAAAAATTGAAAAAACAGGATGATTTTTAAAGTACTTTGAATTTTAAATATTACTATGGCAATGCATTCTGACTTCCCCTCATCCTCCACCAGCTTTTTACTCGCTTTGTCGAAATATAATGCCATGACACGCTAAAAAAACATTAAGAACAATTTTTCCTTCACGCTTGACGTTTCTTAAGTTTTTTTGAAATTAAAACATTGTTCCAAAGCATGAATTCATAATTCGACAAAAAAGCTTGCCAAAACAATGAATGTTTCATGAAATATGCTTACTGTACAAATTTTTTAGTCACAACTCTTCTATATTAAACTCCTTATAGCACAGATTAAAATTAACTAATCAAATGAAAAAAATTCACTTTTAAATATTTTTCCATTACCAAATAGTTAAAAACTTATTCTTTATTTATCTTTGATTGTTTATGTTGATTATTATTGATCATGTAACTATAATATAAGACTTTGTCTGAGATACATGCAATATATTTAATATCATACCAAATCACGTTATGTAGTGCTGTGGATGTTATGGTCCAAAAAATGGCAAGAAGAACTATTGTTATAATAATTGTCAGGCAAAAAATGGTGGAAATATTACAAAAAATGTTTATACATGGTTTTGGGTTCGTTCACGTATTCCCAAGAAAATATGGAATAAGTGTATGGATTATAAAGTGATGGAAAATGGCGCTTTCGTGTGGTACAAAATCATTGGGGACAATGAACTCCCAACAAAAGTATGTTTTATACAGTTATTCAAACTGATGATGAATAATTTTTAATTAACGTTTTGAAATTTGCTGCTACACAAAAAATGCGACAATTCTGCGATATCAGTATTTCTTAAATTACCTCTAGCTCCTATGTAAAATAAGTATGTTAAAAATTGGAAAAGAAAATGTATAGCCCCTTTTCTCAGTCTTATGTAGAAATTTTTAATTAGTCTCAATGCTTTTTAATTTTTTATGATATTATAAAAGGATGTTTTTGCAAGAGCTGATCACTCATTGATCAATATTTTATTCAAAATACATTATAACATTGAATAATTATATCAAGCTTAACAATTGTAGAATCATCCATAGCTACAAATAGCAAATTTTACATTTTTAGGGTCGCTGTGAAAAAGAGAAACCTTTACTTTATCAAGGAGTAAATGCGTAACTTCATCACTTCTTTTATACCTCTTATGAATTCAATTTGTGTTTTATAATGCATTTTCAAATTGATTTCTTGATTTAAATAGATGATTGTTGTACCAGATAATGAAACTGCAAAGAAGATTCCAAAAATTGAAGGGATGATTATTTATCGTGAAGATAAAGAGAAACTTTATGTCCAAGGAAATAAGCAGTTAAAACATTGGCTGACGAGAAAAGGTAAATGATTTTAATGCTATTTGAATACTTCGGCAATGTTATGCTTAGTAAAAGAAATGAAAGTAAAATTTTAAGAGTTTTGAAAATATGATTCTGCATGAATGATACACTCTTTCATTCTTTTTCATAACTTTCCATGATAATGTTTTATTGTTCAGGTTCTAAAGATGCTAGACAAAGATGTATCAAAGCTTGAAAGTGAAGTAGACTATTTAAATAAAACTTTGGACAGCAAATTTCGTTTGGTGTTTTCCCTCGTTTCTCGTAAGTATTTCTTTCAATCATTGAAGCTCTATTGAATTGTTTCATTTTTTATGGAATAATTTTGTGTAGTATGATTTTAGCCACCAAATATTACACCCTAGGCTTTCTACAGCTTAAATGCCTGCGAGATCTAAGTCGTTCCTTTAAGCGATACATTTAATATCCACACGTTTATTCAAGTATTAACTTGTTACATGACCAGTGGCAAGGCCATGGGGGGGCATACAGGAGCATTTCTCCCACGAATTTTTTTGCTTTCTCTCGTTTGCTCAACCATATCTTTTCAACATTGTGTACAATTAGTTTATAATTTTACACAGGGACACCGTGACGTCAATAATTGGGGGGAGCTAATATTCATATGTGGGCGTTTTGCCTGATTACATTGTTTTGATATCAATTGTTTTTTACGAGCTGCAACTATGAATGTATAAATATTTATTCCCCCATTTATCCACGTTCTGGCATCTCAAGTTTTGTATGAATTTTTCCATACTGATGAAATTACATCAAAGAGTTCCTTTATGCGTATTGCACATGAATTACGCTTTCCAGTGGTTTCTGCTTTTTTACTTTTGATCTCTGAGAGCAAAATGGGCAACAAAATTTGCAAATGGAAATGATATTTTCTGAACTTCTTAAAGTCGCTAGAATTTCCATTAGTTTTCCAATAACTACTGCTGGCTTCGAAAGGACTTTTAGCCAGTTCAAACTGATAAAGAACCATCTCAGAACGACAGTAGCAAATTGAAGACGTACACATTTGTCAATTATCAGCATTCATAGGAAACAAGCAATGAACATTGATTTGTAATTAGTTGTTGACTAGTTTATTTACAAGTTTCCAAATAGCTTGTTTTTTAAAGTGACACTTTAAACCATTAGTAGAAAACTTTACGATTAGGAGTATATTTCGACTTGTCGTGGAATAGGTTGTGTTATATCGTTTAAATATCGTGTTATATCTTGTAAATTTGATGTTAAAACATACTTTTATTGGATGTTTAACCATATTATTGTGGCAAACTTGAATGTACGAAATCGGACACAGTCTTGTCTCCCTCCCCTTCCAAACATCTCTTTGCTTCTCAATCACTCAATGCGCAATTGAAGGGCAAAGTGATGTACATGTGTGTAATTACAATTACAATTACATCTTAAAATTACAATTTTCTGTGCACAATATTTCTGAAATATTTACAAACAATATTTCATAGGTGAAATTTCAACTTCAGTAATTCTAAAAGGAGAACCAAAAAACTTCCTAATACAATTAAAGCAATGGTTTTCATTCAGTAATATGAAATGTTGTTGGAGAGCCACTTTTGATGGATGGAATTCAAGAATTTTCCACTCAAGATGTGACAATCGAGGAAAAACTATAACTTTAGTTAAAGTTGGTAAATACATCTTTGGTGGATATTCAACGATAAGTTGGGGTGGTAAGTTTTTCAATAATTCAATGTATGTTCATGCAATGGCCATGAAGTGGTTAAATTTGTAAAATCTTCGAAAAATTATGGAAATGTGAGACTGAGATGTGAGAACAATCATGCAATCGGTTATTGTGCTGTGACTCCGTAAACACTTAAATCAGTATTTTGCTTTCTTTTGCAATGCAAATGATTTGTCTTTGTTTTAAGACTTTTTACTAATCATACATGGAGGTGGGTAAATTGCATTGAAGTTAAATGTGTGGTTCTTGTGGTGAAATTTTATGAATCGGTTACATTCGATTGGAAGCAGAAATATCAAATGCTCAAGTTGCAACGGAAATAGTTACAAAAATAGGTTTTATAACTACTATAGTTTAAAATTAATAAGTTAAGTAATTTATTTGTTTTTACAGGTTCAAGTGGTTATCGAACAAGTTCCAGTAATTACATTTTCTCACTTCGTAACAAAGACAATTTAAGTCCATTTAGATCGCCAGTTTATCGTTACAGCGATCAGGCCATTTATACTAACCCTAGCTATGGTCCCACTTTTGGAGCGCATGATATTTACATCGCAAACAACGCAAACAAAAACAGAAATTCCTACACCAACTTAGGAAACACCTATCGTCCTCCATCTGGTTACAGATATAGGAGTAGTAACACCAGAGCTCTTCTTGCAGGTTCACGCTACTTTACACCTGATGAAGTTGAAGTTTATTATTATGTTTAATGTTTCATATGAACTTCACGTGATCTCCAGAATTATTGTCAATTTAGCCACGTATATCATGTAATGTTTAAATAGAATTTGTATATCGGCTGCTAGTTGTAGTGGAATGTGGTTATTTCATATATCATAATGACATACTGTTTGTTACTGCGGATAATCGATTGGTTGTTTTTTTTTTATGATTAAATCGTTGAATGCGTCCGACTTTGTGCTCAATGACTTGCTTCGACTCAGTTTCTTTTGCTTGTTATCGAATATCCACATCGAGTGTCGAATTTTTTTGCATTTCCTGCCTATGCCTTGATTCTAACGTTATTATTTATCACTGTTTTAGTTAAATGGTCTCGTGTTAAATGGTCTCGTTACATGTAAGATTTTTTTACATCCGTTTTTTCATGAGAGCTCTATGTACCAAGCACTAGGCAAGTCCAAATCACAAACTTGAAAGTAACGCTTGACGTAAGTTTATTTGTTGGATATTTGTTGCAGCAAAATGTTCGCTAATAACTTGGTGAATTTTCTTCAAGAAACTCTAAGAACTCTATACTTCTACAATTTCAATTAACCTGTTTACGCGTGCCTGACATTATCAAACTATACACAAATAATGTTTTTTTATCTTTTGACTATTCTAACCAACATACTCTTGTTTTTATTTGAAAAATGTCCGCTTCTGATGCATCATACACTATTTACACTACAAACAAACGCTGTTTGACTTCCAGGTCAAGAGAGTAACTTAATGTCACTTTTGCCTTTTGATTTTCACAGTTTCTTTTCTCGTCTTAATTCTACGGTTGTTCACATTGAACGATCTACATTACTACTACTAGAGCTAGTAGAAGAGCCGTTGGACATTGGTACAAGATAAATAGATTGTCTAAATTCTGTACGCCCAGGTTGAGTCACGAAAACGACCCACAATTGTTTAGTAGCTAGTTTTATATTGAAAACATGAAAGTAAATAAGCTCATAGAAAGTTTACAATCACTGATGAGCAATAGAAACCTTAACTCAGTACTTATTCTTGAATAAATAATATGTAACCGGCCAGATCTTTTACCAATCGTTACATAAAGTTTGTCATTTTTTTCTCTATGAATATCATTTTGAGCTACTGTTTACACAACAGTGTTGACCAACACATTCCATACATGCAAACTCAAAAAATTATAGAAAGGTGCAAATTGCTTTAGACTTTAGTCGTTATAGCTACATTACCTTTCACGTGTTACACTTAAAAATAGTTTTATCATTTTTCTCTTTATAAATTACTCGAAAAGGAGAGTGTGAAAGAGCACACCACACATGACATGGGCGCACCGAGAAGTTTCCCGATGCTCTAACAGGCCAGTCCGCCTCTAAACAATCTCGTATACATTTTACAGAGCATAATGGGAAAGTGCTTATTGGAAATAGCAATTTTTACTTTTAACCTAATAAAAAACACCATCATGTCCATACTGATGGTATATTTATGATTGTAACTGGGATTTTACTAATTTAATGCTGATATGCTGTACGTATAACTTTGAAATTTTTTCTACCCAAGGCAATATGCTGTTGGTTTTACTGTTATATCTCTACGTTCATCTGGTGGCTCTCCCAGTTTTAGAAAAACTGTTGATTCATACAGGTACGTACAGTTGACTGAAGTTTTAGTTTGTGTAAAACCATGTTTGATACATTTTTAAAAAGACTTAGAGTCAGATTATTTAACAAGTAATGTGGAGTTGATGTACAATCTGTAATTATTACTATATGAAAATCTGTAGTCATGACATTCAAATCTTGTTAAAGCTCTGCGTGTGGAGAGAAAGTATGGAATGCAATTTACTTAGGCAGACGGAGCTCGCTTCAAAGAGTTAACTTCCCTTTGTATACATTTTCATATTATCTTCTCATACATACATTTAGGACTGGGTTCAACGTCCTCAAGATGTCTGATGTACCCCCCGGATCATATCACATTATTCCTACGACATTTCAACCGCATTGTGAGCGTCCATTTATATTCTTGAAGTATCCTCATCAGCCAAACTCACTCTCAGACAACTCTGATGTTGGTTGTATTTCATAATTTTAGTGATATTTTTGTATTTAAATGCATGCATATGTACATAGTGAACATCGTGATAGGTTCCTGCAGAAGACCAAAGTCTGTAAACACGATATTATTTACATATGTCATGCAAACATACGTCACAATTTAAGTTTAAATGCATGCATATGTACATAGTGAAAATCGTGATAGGTTCTTGCAGAAGACCAAAGTCTGTAAACACGATATTATTTACATATGTCATGCAAACATACGTCGCAATTTAAGTTTTTTTGCTAGAGGAAGTCGGCATAAGATTGTGGTTATGGTAAACAATGATATCAAATATATCATTGGAGACAGTTGTCTGCGAAAAATAAAATGTTTCTATCAAAACGTTATAATTTTCTCAAGTTTTAAATCAAAAGCTAATAGATTCCCTGCTTGTTTTAAGATTTGAGAGTAAAATAACCTCTAAAGCTATAGTTTATTTATCTCCAAGCTTATAGTCTTTGTATTTGCTGAAAATAGATCAAGCAGTGTATTGGGTTATCATGTCCACTATATCATTGTAAAAATTTAAAATTGAATTTAGATTTGAAATTAATGAAATTCTTTGAAAAACACAATGATTAAAACGATTAATTGTACAAATAATTTTCACCAGTACAAAGTAAATCATTTAAGTCATCAATGCAATGTTATTACGATCTCTTTCAGATGATCTAAACGCTTTTGTCGTTTGTCTATATTTGAAATATTACAGTGTCTTTGTCGCAATCTACTAACTGTATCTATTTGAATGGGTGAAATTAGTTGTTTAAATGCTAGTTGACCTGATTAAACAAGAAAGTTAACTAGATAGTTAACAAGATAGCTGACAAGAAAGTTGACAAGAAAGTTAACAAGAAAGTTAACAAGATAGCTGACAAGAAAGTTAACAAGATAGTTACCAAGAAGGTTAACAAGAAAGTTAACAAGATAGTTAACGAGACGTAACAAGACTGTGTTGAAGAGACAATTGTACCTTAAATTGCAGATATATATTGGCAACTGCACTCTGGCCATCTTAGCAACAAAACACAAAAGATGTTTTCCAAAATTTAGTTTTGATGATATTGTATTACATTTGAAAAAGTAAATGAAAGATAACGCCCAAATGTATTGGATGCATGTAGCGCTGCACACCGGATGCACGTTATTGCTATATTTAAAGTTCTGATGATATGCATGCGACTCTTGTATATGAAACGTTTTGCTTTTGTGATGCATATACTCAATTAATGCACTTCATCATCCATAACTAAAATATTTCACTCTGCTGTTGGTCAATGTGAAAACGATAACTGCATATCAAATGCAGACCAGTGGCTTAGCTATGGAAAAATAGTCGATACTTTTTAGTAACACCGAAGAATGTAGGAGGCTTTGGCCTTATGGCACTCTTCATTACAATACGTGACAGATTTATAAAATATTTTGCTTTTGATGCTAATATTTTGATTTCAAACAAAGGTTTATTATACTATTAATTGCAAATATGCTCGTCATCAGTGCCATTGTCTGAAGTGCCGAAAGTGAATAAAAGCGTTTTACAATGCAAAACAACTAAGAATGTGTATTTTAAAGTGTTGTATTTTATTAAATTTATTTGTACGGATTTTTTTGTCTTGCTGAGTAGGAAGAGCAGTCTGCAAAAGTATAAGAAATAACCTCGCAAATTATCCAAAAGAAATGCAATAATTTTTGTTGTGCTTAAGATAGATATCTTATATACTTTCTCCTTTCCCGATGGTAGGATTGGAAGGCATGTTTTAAGGGAAAATACTTTGTTAACATTGTTTGTAGTCAAAGTAACTCGTGAAACCTTGTAACTTTTGTAATATTTAAGATACGAAACCGAAATTTTTAAGAGAAACTTCTTCATATGCAAATATTAATTATGATATTTACATAATTTTTGTTTGTGGAGTTTATTATTCCGCTGTGCAGGAAAAGCTTGTGTGCTATTTTAAAATTCTGTAAGCTACGCCACGTAGTATTTCATTTAAATTGTGGGCTTTGTGGTATGTGTACTTTTTAAAGTAGCTATTTTGATGAATAACTAAATTTGTTAATACAATATTTGTCATTAAAACTGCTCTTCACTTGGTAATGTTGTTTATGGTTTATGCTAACCTTAACGGGTTATTTCAACTCGTTAAAAGCTGTAGTCAGACAGCTGAAAGCGCGCGTTTCTATTAAATTTGTCTGTGAATGTTTGATTAAATTATTTTTAATCCTGATATACTGGATTACGTATAACTTTTTAAATCTACTTTATTATTTATAATTCGCAAAGGTTATATTTCACTCCAAGGTGCACTATTGTGTATATTGCGCGCCTGTCTGAACTTTAATCCGCTGAATTTTGAAGCTCGTAATAGTAGCTAAATTGTAAAATGTTCTTTGTCAAAAGATTTGAGTGAGCATCACTAATTTTATCTGACGTATATATGAGCCTAAATGACCCCTGTCTTTCTCTGCAAAACTATTTTTCCATACATCACAAAAATAAATCTTGACTGCTAGCTACGCTATTTTTAATTTTCATAACGTGTTGAGCAAAATGCTGAAGAGGAAGCCACTGATAAATAATGGCTTTAAATAACACATTCAATTTCTACACTACACGTCAATGAGGTATTTTGTTTGTTATCTTTGACTCCAAAATGGATGAAGAAAAACTGGAGTCTTTTTATGTACTTGAAAAGTGTAATTTTTACTCATGTCGTAATCAAGTTAGCAGCTTATTAATTACTCTTATTGAAAAGAACTCACAAAATTAAAATTCACTATCAATTCATTAATATTCTCTGTCAATAAATGTTCATCAATATTTTATCGTCTAAAGGTTGTCACCTTTGTGTAAACGTCTTCCGTTTCAGTTTGGAAGGTCATAAAAGAGAAAGATGAATTTTCAGAGCTCACAAAAACGTTTTAACGGCAATTTGAAAAAGAGAGAAGATGAAGGGTTTATATTTTGTCGCTCTCATACTTGGGGTCTTAGGAAAACTACAGTCTTCGGTAACAAAGACTATTTGACTTTCCACCTTATGTAATATAGCTGTATTGAAATAAGAAATGAGAATTGCTGAATTCTATATTGACTATAGTCCTTATTAAACGACAGACCAAAGAAAGCTAACTGACTAAATGAAAATACACGTCGAATTTCTCTTTAGAAAATCAAGGTAGTTAAAGGATACAACCCAGGACCATGTTTGAAAAACAAAAGTGGAGAGATCACGTTAGTTCGGGATCGACAGAACGAACCTAAACTCTTGATATGTTTAAAAGTTAACGGTATTTTTGGATGGAGAACCATAGATGGTGTGTATGATACAAACTTTGGATTTGTACATTTAGTGTAATAAAATAATACGTAAATTACGTAAAACCGTTTCTCAGGTTCAAGTTCTCCAGGAGAGTTTTTCAACCCAGTATACGACTGCTCAACCATATTGGATAAAGATCCAAAAGCTAAAGATGGATTTTATTGGATAACACTTGGAGAAAAGAAACCAAAAAGAGTAAATATATAAGATAAATAATATATTTACTCATCACGAGTAAGCAACATAAAATAAGTTTCCAGTTGTCAATTCAAAAGAGAAGCTTGTTTATTCATAAATATATTTTACATACATGGTTGTTATATACAACTTTTTTATTCACTTCATACGTGAATCATTTTTTTCATCATTCCTTGTTCTATTAAGATTTATTGTGATATGACAACTGATGGTGGCGGGTTCATGTTGATTGGTCGAAAAAATACATCCATTACATGGACAGTACCATCGAACAGCAAGACAGTGGAACCTTTTGGTGAACCTCATTGGATAAGTTCATTAGGAGAGGCTCCAATGGTTGATTTTAGAGTACAAATGGCCACTCGAGATGATTTTAAGGCAACTAAAGCTCATTGGTATAGAAATTATCACTTTGGCCATTATTAACTTACAGGGGCGTTGGATAGGCAGTAAAAAGAGGAGGCATCTCAGAAATTATGAATATCAATTTAGCAGTAATATCATTTTTTCTGCATATTGTATGCTTATATCACGTATTGAATTGTTCAAGAAAACGACAAGCGTGATATACTTTATGTCAGATTTTCAATATGTTGTTTTTCGTGCAAAAAAGCGAGTGGGCACTTCCCCTCTTTCAAGAAAAGTAAGGAAAGCGCCCCTTCCATCCGTTTTCAACACCCCAGTTGACTTCCAATAGGGACAAAAATATTAGGCGATGTCTTTCCATTCAGGTTTTACAGATTTCAAAGCCCACGAAAATTAAAAAAATTAATGATTTACAACAAAGGAGGCTGTACAAAAACATCACCTGGGATTGGTGACGTTTCGTTTGTGAAAGATCTAATCATTGATAAAGTTGTGACAACAAGTTTTCGTTGCTCAAAATTTGGATTGGCACACAATAAAAGAACACAGTTTTGATGGGTATGAAGAGAATGATTCAATTGTTGGGATGTATGAACTTCTAGAATATGGTGTGTGATTTCTGTTCTTTTTCTTTTGTAGGCAAAAATGAATGTTTGTTTAAGCAGACCCTGCCGCAAGGGATTTGCTTTTCACCACAAACATCCATTTCAAACTGACTATTCTGGAGCATTCAGGTAACAAAATCAGTACAATTACAAATTAACATTTACACATTTTATACAACTATACTTGTTGACTTTCAGAAGCTCAGAGGATATATTGTACCTACAGAACTAATATAGCTACAGTGTTGTTTTGTTATTTATTGAGCAACAAAAATTCAAAAACTAACTTACGGAAAGACTTAAAAAGTACTAAAAACTGAAAGTAGAAAATAAGAATCTGTTTGAATGAAATGGAATTAGTTTGAAATTATTGTAAAATTAAATGTTAAGAAAAACAGTGAACTAATTAAAATTAACGTATACATTGTTCAAACTTTAGCTACAGTACGACAAATCAAATTTCTGGTATAAATTTTGGAGCAACAGCATTGGTTGGCTGTGACAATGAAAAGGTTTTTATTTTACTCTGTATAAGTTATTTTGTGTTAAGAATATCCTTAAAGCTATGTAGCTGAATCTTTTTTTTCATTGATCATCCTTTATAACTTTGCAT